AAGACACTGTACCCAACAACTGTTTTTCTAATCAGAAATAAAAAATGTTGTTGGAAACAGATGCTCCATGCCACAAAGAAAAATTAGCACTGAGACAAAGGATCTTCCAGCAACGCAATTTTTACTTCCTGGATTGCAAGAAGGGTACTAGCCATCTTGCCAGGAGAGTACAATGAACAAAGCAAAACCACACAAATTTATCCCTTACGCATTTGGGGCTGTCCTTACTGCTGTGTCCGATTTCCGTTGGCTAGAGCCAGACCTTACAATTTAAACTAAAACCCAAAGGGCTAACAACTTAAAACTTTTCTAAGCCAGTAAAAGCAATGGAGAGCTGGGACATGCCTGTGAGCACGTCCAGCACAGATAACCCAGTTAAAGCTCAATGACATAGAATGTACTGCGTGCCTGTAAGCATGGCATGTCTAACAAACAGCTACATAGGATAGGGCTTAACAAAGAGTTATTAGCACACTTATGATTTATCCTTTAACAAGAAAGGAAACTTTAAAAAGGAACTTTTCTACTTCCCACAAATGTTCACTTTTACAAGAACTTCTATAGTATTTTGTTTTCCTCACAAATCAGCATAGCAAATAACTCTAACGAAGGGATCCAGGAAACATGCTCCAGTCTAGAAAAGAAGCCAGACATCTGCTTTCTCTGCTAAGTTATGAACAAACCCTTAAAGCAAAGCTAGGCTTAGGGGTTTGTTCATAACTTCGCAGAAAAAATCATAAGGATTATATACTACGTTGGAGATGGTACAGGAAACGAAGTCAAAATGCCTAGAGAGTAAGACCTATAAAAACAACTATAAAGAATTGTGATCAATTCGAAGAAAAAAGCACAATTTTTATCAGGTATAAGTGTTTTCATTACAACTGAAAACGCATATAAAAATGGTTAGAAGGCCGGGCGCGGTGGCTCAAGCCTGTATTCCCAGCACTTTGGGAGGCTGAGGCGGGTGGATACCGAGGTCAAGAGATAGAGACCATCCTGGTCAACATAATGAAAACCCGTCTCTACCAAAAATACAAAAAATTAGCTGGGCATGGTGGCACGTGCCTGTAATCCCAGCTACTCAGGAGGCTGAGGCAGGAGAATTGCCTGAACCCAGGAGGCGGAGTGTGCGGTGAGATGAGATCGTGCCATTGCACTCCAGCCTGGGTAACAAGAGCGAAACTCCATCTCAAAAAAAAAAAAAAAAAGTGGTTAGAACATGAAGAAAATTATTTCATTTTCTTGAAAAGATGTCTTCACACTAATTACACTTGCTTAGACTATCTTTCAATAACACTTTTATCTATTATTCATATAGCTTTATACAAAATGAGGATTTTATACAAAATGGAAAGAAAAGCTGATGAACCAGAAGCATCAGACAACCTGAACAAAAAGTGACCAAAGAATCTCTTCTTCCAATAATTTAAAATAATTAGGCAGACATGCTATAAATATGAAAGTAATTAATAAGTATCCATAGCTTACTATAAACCCCTTTATTTTTTGTTTCAAACCTTTACTAAAAGGTAGATTTGAAACAAAATAAAGGGATTGATTTTTGGTAAAGGTAAAAACTCTTTAGTAAAAGCAATTAGTTAAAAGTCAGTTAAACTTTAAAACTTTCACCCTTCAAAAGAAAAGAGAATGAAAAGGCAAGCCACAGACGAGAATGGATTTGCAAAAGCACATATTCAACAAATGACTTGTATTTACAATACAGTCATTCCCCACATGTTGACATTTCAGTCAAGGACAGACCGAATAAATAATGGTGGTCTGTAAGATTATACTGGAACTGACTTATACAGGGGTGTGTCTTTTTTTTTTGAGACAGAGTCTTGCTCTGTCGCCCACACTAGAGTGCAGTGGCATGCTCAGCTAAGTGCAACCTCCACCTCCCCTGTTCAAGCAATTCTCATGCCTCAGCCTCCAGAGCAGCAGAAACTATGCCACGCCCAGGTAATTTTTCCCTTTTTTTTTTTTTTTTTTAACTAGAGACACGGTTTTGCCATGTAGGCCAGGCTGGTCTAGAACTCCTGACAAGTGATCCACCATCTCAGCCTCCCAAAGTGCTGGGAGTACAGGCATGAGCCACATACCCATGGCCTGGTGTATCTTTTGTTGTTAATTATTGTTTTTTGTTTGGATTTTTAAAATTTTTTTTAAGAGACAGGATCTCACTGTCATCTGCCCAGCTGGAATACAGTGGCCACTCACAGCTCACTGCAGCCTCAAACTCCTGGGCTCAAGAGATTCTCCTGCCTCAGCCTCCTGAGTAGCTGGGCACAACACCACACCTGGCTAATTGTTTCATTTTGTTGTAGAAACAGGTCTTGCTATGTCGCCCAGGCTGGTCTCAATCCTCCTGCCTCAGGCTCCCAAAGAACTGAGATTACAGGTGTAAGCTACCACACCCAGTCAGTCCCATTTCTTATCTTTTATACAGTATTTCTACCATAGCTTTTCTGTTTGCATATGTTTAGATACACAAATACCATTGTGTTAAAATTACTAAAGTATTCAGGACAGTTAACATGTTGCACAGGTTTTTAGCCCAGGTATACTACTACACCTAGGCTATATGGCATAGCAACTGGCTACACCATGGTTATACCGTGGAGGATTGTGTAAAAACACTTCATGATATTCACACAACAATGAAATCAGTTAAGTGATGCATGATTATACAGAAGAAATTCAAACTACTTAAATATCAGCAAAAAACTTGGACACTTCACAAAAGAAGATATATGAATAGCCAAAAAGCATATGAAAAGATGCTCAACTTGGAACCAAAAGAAGATATTACTACCCATCTATTACAATGGCTAAAATTAAAAAGACTGATTGTATCAAGTGTTGGAGAGGATGTGGGGCAAATGAGACTCTTACACATTGATGGTGGGACTATGAAGTGTTACCACTTTGGGAAAGAGATTGACAGTTTCTTAAAATTCTTAAAACATACATCTACCATATGATGCAACCATTCCTCTCCTAGAGATTTACACAAGAGAAATGAAAGTATATGTCCATACAAAGAATTGTACATGAATGTTCAGAGCAAGTTTATTTGTAATAGCCAAAACCTGGAAACAACCCAAATGGCCATCAACAGATGAACAGGTAAACAAATTGTAGTATAACCAGAACAATGGACTACTACTCTGCAATAAAAAGGAATAAACTATTGATAGATGCATGATCTGGAGGAGTATCAAAATAATTATGCTGAGTGAAAGAAGCCACACATATACTTACTATATGTTTCCATTTATTTAAAAATTTCTAGAAAATGCAAACTAATCTACAATTACACAAAGCAGATCAGTGGCTGCCAAACAGGGAGGGATTCAAAAAGGGGCAGGAGGAAACTTTTAGGGGTGATGGTTTCATGGGAGTTTCCTAGGAGAGAGAAGTATTTGTGTATATACAGTCAAATTAGCCAACTGTATGCTTTAGAGCTTATTGTACTCAAGCTCAATAAAGATGAAAAAATCTGCAAGAAAAATGATTTAGAAAAACAAAAACCCGGCCGGGCAGGGGGGCTAGCACCTGTAATCCCAACACTTCGGGAGGCCAAAGTCGGGGAATCGCTTGAGTCCAAGAGTTCAAGACCAGCCTGGGCAATATAGTGAAACTCCTCTCTACAAAAAATAAACAAAAAAATTATGTCCAGGCATGGTGGCTCACGTCTATAATCCTAACACTTTGGGAGGCCGTGGCAGGCAGAACACTTGAGGCCAGTAGCTGGAGGCCAACCTGGCCAACACGGCTGAAACCCCGTCTCTACTACCAATAATACAGAAATCAGCCGGGCATGGTGGCACGCACCTGCTCCTTGGGAGGTTGAGGCAGTGAGTTGAGATCACGCCACTGCACTCCAGCATGGGCAACAGAGCGAGACTATATCTCAAATAAATAAATATATATATACATATACATAAATTTTTTAATAAATAAACAAAAAATTAGCTGGGTGCGGTGGTAGGCATCTTGTAGTTCCAACTATTTGGAAGGCTGAGATGGGAGGATAGCTTGAGCCCCAGAGGATGAGTTGCGGTGAGTCGTGATCGTACCACTGCACTCCAGCCTGAGCGACAGAGACCCTGTTTCACAAAAAAAATTCGAAACAAAAATACTCTCCAGATTCCCAGTGTGTGCGACCCCATTTCACCGTTGGGAACCGCCCCTTCCCCTCCTTAACCCTCCTCCATCTCAAGACTGACACTCATCCCTTCTTTCGAGGGGAAGACTGAACCCTAAAACGTTCGCAAACTACTAAGACTCAAAGTACGCCCACTGTATTCCTGGATCCTCACCTCCTGCCACCAACCTCCTGTCTACCTTCGCATTCGCACAGATAGCCTTGCTGGAATAGGAAAAGGACCACCCCCCCCCTCCCCGCGCCATCCGCCGACCATCCCCTCACGTTCATGTTCCCAAACATTCCTACACCAAGCTTACTTCGACGGAGCATATCCCGCTCCTGAAACACCACTAACAGGCACAGAACCACCGAAAGCTGAGCTCTACAGTCGTCCCACCCCCGGGCACGTCGGAGTGTGGGGATTCGAACACCCCCCAGTCTAGGTTACCTGCCACCGGCTGGCCGCGCCGCGGACAGTTGAGCCACCGCGGCGGGATCTTGTTGTGAGCCATGTCTTGGGGCCGCGCAGAACTGCCCTCCTTCACCAACGTTCGCCGCGCCTTTCCAGCAGCCTCCCCGCGGTCGGGTGCGCACCGGGGTCCGAGACACTCGAATCGCAGAGGTAACCCGAATTCCAGCCGCTCCAATCCGGGAAACGTCAGGGGCGGCGCGCCACTTTCATTCAGGATCAACTGCACAGCTTCAAGAGAACCCACAATGCACCGCGACTTCCGCCCCCAAGGCCCCGCCCCCTTCTTTCCGAGGTCAGAGGTAAAGACGAGGAAGCTCTGCGGAAGGATAGCATGGAGTTAACACTACGACGAATGGGAGGAGCGGGCTTTCTCTCGCCCCGCCCCGGCCCGGCCGGCTCCACGGACGCGCTCGTGCTCTCCTAGTTCGCCTTTGCGCATGTGCAGTTGCCTAACGACTGAACTCCGAGGAACGAAGCGTATGTTTTTTTCTCATCTAGACAACCTAGAGAAAACCAAAAAAGAGGGAAGCAAGCCCACTTTCTTTTTTTTCTTTTTTTCTTTTTTTTTTTTTTTTTTGAGACGGAGTTTCGCTCTTGTTACCCAGGCTGGAGTGCAATGACGAGATCTCGGCTCACCGCAACCTCCGCCTCCTGGGTTCAGGCAATTCTCCTGCCTCAGCCTCCTGAGTAGCTGGGATTACAGGCACGCGCCACCATGCCCAGCTAATTTTTTGTATTTTTAGTAGAGACGGGGGTTTCACCGTGTTGACCAGGATGGCCTTGATCTCTTGACCTCGTGATCCACCCGCCTCGGCCTTCCAAAGCGCTGGGGTTACAGGCGTGAGCCACCTGCGCCCGGCCCGCAAGCCCGCTTTCATGCGTAGATTGTACCACTTACATAAAGGCATCTGTTTTACTGATGAAAGAGGCCTGCCCAGCGTTACTACAGCTCAAACTTGGCGTCCCGGCCAATCTGGGTTTGATTTGGAATTAGGGAACGTTGTTCAAGGGAACAAGTCTTAGGAGAATTCTAAGGGTGTGAGATTAGAGTACCAGAAATGGGTTTTTTTTTTTTTTTTTTTTTTTTTTTTTGGTAAATACTTATAAGGATCTATGAAGCATCTGAAATTAATTCCAAAAGACTTAGAGTTTTGTTTGTACGTTTCTGGAGCAAAGTTTCAAAGCATTCTGGGGAGTTTGAGAGGGTCCGTGTCTCCAAAAAAAGTTACGAAGTAATGTGTATAATTGACAAAGGAATTGCTCAGTGGAAAACATTTTAGTGGCGCTTTTCTTCTTTGCCTACCAAATAAACAGTCCCTTTTATTTTCCCTTCGAGTTAAGCAGAGGTGTTTGGAAGCATTTTATAAATGCCGTCCTTTAATGAATCTTTCCTTCGTTACCAGGTTAAAGTGTTGTATATAAAGCTGGGTGATGGCAAATCAATTATAATGTAGTTTGGCTTTAAACACCGATGCTATATTGGAACTGCAAGAGCGTAAGGCTGCAAGGAATACATTTTTAAAGCGTCGGTGGGGAACTTTCTGGAAAGCTCAAGCCCTTGAATGACTGGACCCCCTCAGTAAGAGTCCCTTAAGTACAGACGGTCCGATAGCAATCTCCCTGGGGCAGCCTGAGTTAGGTCACACTTCTGGTCTGTCCTGCTGTTGCATCTGCTCAGAACTGTTAGTGACGGTGTCACTCCTCCCCTGACAGAACAAGATAATACCCAGTTTGCTTTAAGGCCATATCAGTCTACCCAAATAATCTCCAATTAATTCCCTTTTCTGCTGGTAGAGTGTGTACCATGACCAAAGTGGTAAAACCTTCCATCCCCAGAGCCCCTCCAAGGATGGGAAAGGTGAGCCTAATCCTGGAAGAGTATCTTACCTTCTCCTTCTGAGGATGACTCCCCTTCCCACACACACTGTGTCCACCCAGTAGTTCAGTCCTAGGCACAAAAGGCTTCATACCACTGGCGAGCAACTCTTACTGGCTGTAAGGCAGCACTGTGGACGAGAGTTTTATTCCGCTATCCAGTTATGCCCTACCCATACTCTGCCACAGAAATGGGAGGACACTGTGGCTACCTTTTGACCACAGCAGAGGGTAGAATAGGAGAGTGGGCATCCTGATGAGTGGGCAGTTCTCTCTGCCTGCCAGGAATGCCTTGCCTGATGGTTGTTTCTGCCTATATTGCTCCTAGTCCCAAGTCTCTACTGCTCTGTGAGAAGAAAAATAGATGGCCACAGATAGACCAACATGATTCCTCCCCTGCTTCCTGGAACCCCTGACTCACCCACATATGGCTTGGTCTCCTCTTTATTGGATATAGATTCTCTTCATTGGTGAATCTTACATCAAACATCCATTTTGCCCATAAGGAAGAGTGTGTAAACGTAAAAAATAAGATTGAACATTCTCTTTTGGCAAAGGAGAGACATCTTACCTGTCTTCCCTTTTCCTAGGACATTTCCTTGAGAAAACTTGTATTTATTAATTCTTCCTCTTCACTGTGATATGTAGATAAACCTTTTGTTTTGGAGACAGGGTCTCATTCTCTCACCCAGGCTGGAGTGCAGTGGGCATGATCAGGGCTTACTGCAACCTCAACCTCCCAAGCTCAAGCAATCTTCTCACCTCAGCCCCCAAGGAGCTGGTACTACAGGTGCATGCCACCACACCCCACTGAATTTTTATATTTTCTTTTTTTGTAGAGGCAAAGGTCTCATTATGTTGCCCAGGCTGATCTGGAACTCCTGGGCATAAGCAGTTCTCCCATCTCGGCCTCCCAAAGTGCTGGTAAGACAGCAAGGTGGGAAGGATTCCCTGGCAGAACCTCCTACACTGTGCTGGGAGGAATGCACATTGGGGTGGAGCCTTAGGAAATTTGTGCCATTTGCTGGGGGAGTAGCCTGGCCCCTCCCTTTCCTGGGTGGAACCTGGGATTCAGTCTGAAAGGCAGGAAACACTCTGGCTTTGGGGAGATCCCTGTTTCCCTTTTTTTTCTTTTTGCCCAATAAATTCCATTCTTACCATTTCATGGCCATGTGACAAGGACCTGACTCTTAGCTGAACTAAGGGGAAAGTCCTAAGGGCTTTGGCACCCAATGTGGGGCTTGAGAAGGGATGAGTGAAATGGTGATTCAAAACTTCTCACTGTCATTTCTAAGCCTTTTCATGTGGGGACTTCTGAGGGTAGGAAAACTGTGTTCCCAACCCTGTTGCTCCCTGGGGTCAGTGGCCTTTCCATGAACTTTCCCTTCCTTTTTCAGGAAGAATTGGCAAGCCACACTCCTCACTCCCTCTCCTCTCCCACTGGAGCAGGAGAATGTCACATGTCCACAGCATCTTCCCCTTTCCTGGCCAAGGGGCTCAACTCCTGGGACAGTAATTTAAGTTTCTCCCTGGTAGAGGAACCATTTGATTAAGAATAAGAGGCATCTGTGAGCAGAGGTCACCTAAAAAAAAGAGTAAGAGGCATCCTTTTTTATTCACCCCAGCAGCAGTTAACTTTTAAACCAGTTTTTTTTTTTCCTTTTTGAAGACCTTTTTACTAGGCTAAGAATGATAAAGATCCCTGTTTATATTCTCTGTAAAGTTTTGGTTGTGAAAAAGGACCTTGTGGGGACTGAGTTTCCTTCTGCCTGTCTGTGTAGCTATTTATGTGTTATGTACGTGATGTCTATAAAAAGAGCTCTAAGGCTGGGTGTGGTGGCACATGCCTGTCATAATCACAGCACTTTTTGAGGCCACAGTGGGCAGATCATTTGAGAGTCAAGAGATCAAGACCAGCTTGGCCAACATGGTGAAACTCCATGTCTACTAAAAATATAAAAATCAGCTGGGCGTGGTGGCATGAACCTGTAGTCCCAGCTATTCAAGAGGCCGAAGAGGGAGAATTCCTTGAACCCAGGAAGTAGAAATTGCATTGAGCCGAGATCGCACCACTGCCTCCAGCCTGGGCAACAGAACGAGACTCTGTCTCAAAAAAAAAGCTCTAATTAATTGGCCTAAAGGAAGACAAGTGCTTGGATCAAATATTTTTTAAAGGGAAGATAAAAGATATGGTACCTTTCAGTTCACATGACTTCAGTCTTTGATAAATAAAAACATCCTTAAAGATTACTGGTAAAAAGCAGATGTCACCAAAATGTAAGTAGATGGACTAAATTATATAGGCTTGGTACTAGTCTTGCTAAATGTTTTATGGTTATAAACTGCTTTTTGAGTTTTAAGAACTATCTGACTTGCCAGCTTCACAATTGATAAGGCCTGGGGATATATGGAACTAACCACACCCTTAATTATGCTGGAAGGAGTCAAACCTTGGCTGTACCTAGCACACAATTAAAACAATTTACCAGGTTTTACATTAAAGTTAAAATTGCTAGGAGTTACCATTATAAGGTATAATTGAAACTACTGAAAATAGATTTGCATGCAAGGTATGTAAGAACAGTAAAATGTGGGGTTTTCTTGGTTTTTTTGTTTGAACAGTCTCGCTCTGTGGCCCAGGCTGGAGTGCAGTGGTGCGATCTCGGCTCACTGCAACCTCCACCTCCCGGGTTCTTGCAATTCTCCTGCCTCAGCCTCCCGAGTAGCTAGGACTACAAGCGCACACTGCCACACCTGGCCAATTTTTTTGTATTTTAGTAGAGATGGGGTTTCACCGTGTTGCCCAGGCTGGTCTCAAACTCCTGAGCTTAGGCAATCTGCCCGCCTTGGCCTCCCAAGGTGCTGAGATTAGAGGTGTGAGCCACCTCACCCAGCCATAAAATGTGTTTTTTAGTAAAAGATTTTAAGAAGGCATGGAAATGTACATTTTTTCTTAGGGTTAAAAAATTATTTTAAATTAGATAAGGTAAGATAAAGGTTTAAACAAATTCTGGAAGGTTTAAACAAATTAATCTTGCAAAAGAAATCTTACAAAAGAAATTCTGTGTGTGAACATTCAAATTCAAAAGGGTATTATGTGGTTTTTCTAGAAATTGAACATTGAAATAAAAGCACAGCAAAATTTTCTTAAGGCACTAACCAGCTCTTGAGCAAAATTTGTAAAGGATTATAAAAAGGTTTTGCTTCTTTAAAATTTCTGATTCATTTTGGCAAAATAAATAATTCATGGAAATCTGGAATTCTACTTCATAACATCAAGTGTTTTAAACCACTAATGTATTTAACAGGCTTCCCCAAATCAAACTTCCATTTCAAAATTATCTTTCCTGACACCTGGCTTTTCAGAGGCTCTAAAAGGACCCCTAGAGGGTCCAGAAGAGAAAGGTAAACAGGGTTAATTGACATGTTTAGGTACACAAGATTGTCAACATGATGTTCAGTTTTCTTTTCTTTTCTTTTTTTTTGAGAGAGTCTCACTCTGTTGCCCAGGCTAAAATACAGTGGCATGCTATCAGCTCACTGCAATCTCCGCCTCCCAGGTTCAAGGGATTCTCCTGCCTTGGCCTCCCAAGTAGCTGGGA